ATGTTATCTTAATATATCTTAACGGGAAAAAACTACAAGAAGTTTAATATCTTTATAAATATAAATGATTAATTCAAATTCAAAAATAAAAGTGAACGAGCCCAATAAAACGTTGCATTTTAAAACGTTTCTTTTTTTTCGTCTCCAAACGATATAAACACGTAATTGTATCATCTATCGCTTTTCCATTTCCTTTCAAGCCTCGAGTGATCTCAATCCCCTACCAATCAACTCTGATAACCTTAAAATACCACATTTATAACTAATCAAAAATTATGTATTGTTATTCAAAGCAGGCTGAGAACTTTATCTGGAATCGCTCGAATCTTCGATGTATTAGATTAGATTTGAATTGATTTTTAACTGTTTTCAAAAAAGGAGGAGGTTCTCAATTCGTCTGAATATATTTTTGTTATGTATGTTCAGCGATAATTCTTTACCACTTTGCCCAATGTCTATAATTTTTGTTGGGGGTGGTCCCATATAAATTTGGTCAAGATCTGCTGATGCGATCTATGAGCAAATCAGCAAACTCAATTTGGCACGATTTTGGAGTTGGTTTTTTAAAATTACTTCTATTTGATTAGAACTTTAAGTCATTTCAGATTTAATGTGCAGATCCTTTAATAATAAGAGCACTTTATCTATTTTGATATTTTCTAGTAGACTTCAAAAACTAGAAAGTAGTAAAATTAATTTTTTTCTCCAAGCGTAATGAGTCAAAATCAGTCTTTGTAGACTTAGGCAATTTCTTCCTCTTCCTAACAGAATTGGCACAAAGTTGTTACAACTGAGACTTTGCCCAATTCCAAGTTTTACTCGGTGAGCTTTGACCATTTTAACGATGGTCCTTTTATGAACGGTTTAACATCCTTTGTTTTGTGCATGTTCTGGTGACTATTTTTGAAGGGTACGGAAAGACTATAAAGCTCTTGCTCGGGTTAGTAAATTAGCCTTTTCATTGACCTTAGGTCCGCTGTGGCTATGACCTGGCATAGAAGCCAAGACTAGTCTATTTTGTCTTACCAACTCTCTTACGGCTTCCAAATAGTCACATAAGTTTTCAGTGTACCTACATGGAAATGAGTGCTTTTAATGTCACTTATCTATCAAAGTGTTTGTTTTAATACTCTTTTGCACAATGATATGATTTATTGGTACTAGTTCTGTCTGGAATATTGTCGCAAAATTACTTACGTGTATAATAGGAGATCTTCCCTTCCACGCATCCATTCAGGTATACTTTTTGTTTTTTCATATTTTGCACCCTGGTTCTACTACTGCCATACTCATTAACTCACCCATTCAGTCTCCCATTCCTACCATCCACGACGTGACTGGAGAACTGCTTAGCTTAGCGATTACGTGGATGCACACGACTTTCGCGAATTCTCTCTCTGGTTCCTGTAAACTTGCTTTGTATAGTTTTGGGAAGCTATGTATTTTAGCAGCATCTTGTTAGATGTAAATCACATTATTTGACCGCCTTTCATCTCTTTATAGTATAACGAAATTCCCATCGTTTGATCGTTTTCTTATTCGTTACTTCTTATGGGTAATGAACTTTGACCATGTCACTTCGTTGAGAATCACTCTATAGTCATAATACTTCGCAAAAAATCAATTTAAACTTTACACAATAAAGATATCTGCATACGTACTTCACATACATGTACAAGAAGAAGAAAATTAAACAAAAAGTTTAAAAAATTATGTGTCAATCCATTTTCAGATGAGTCAACAATTCAAAGAACAAGTTATATATTTTTTTCAAAAGAAACGTGTGTTTTATAAAAGCAATCATTTTGGTAACCATATTTGAAGAGATGTTCTCCTATTTCGTTAAAATGTTCCAATAAAACTGGATTATTCCCATCTCTGTATTTTATTTGAATCATATTGTCCGTGTATTTTTCACCCTGTAACCACCTGGAAATGCGGGAAAGAAGAAGAAAAGCCAGGATAGCAGTTTTGCAGTTTTCCCGTTCGTTTCGCCGCCGTAAATTTCATTGTCCGTGATCAGTTTAAAGTGTCAGTCGTTGGCGGGAGAGGGTCGGGTGGTTTTCCAATTCTCGGCTCGGCGGACGCTCAATAATGTGCGAACTAAAGCGAGGGTGGGGACTCCCCCGCCGCCACGCCACCAGCCTCCTTGTTCTGGTTGCAAGCTTCGTTTGGTTCCTTTCTCCCGGGGGGCGCCCACTTAACCTCAACATCTGTACCTTTATGCGCTTCTGTGCGGTGCGCCCGTCACGATAATGGAGACAATGTCATCCTCATGGGACACGGATTTAATAGACCTATACATTTACTACATTATTAAAACTAATCACTTTATTCATACGCAATGTATATTTTTTTGTATTTTAAAACAAAACGATTCTCTTATTACCTTTGTTTAAAAAAGAGGATGTAAACTGACCAAAAACGACTTGGTGAATGTATTATTAAAACGAATTTAATTAAAAATATTACATTAATAGTGTCGAAAGTGACATTTTTCAGGCAGTTAGGAAATATTGTTGCACGAAGCATAAGCGGAGTGCGACAATCACACGATGAGTGTGAAAACAATCTTTTATACAAGTGATATATATTTCAAAATAATTTCATAAAAAAATGTCAAATCAGGATATCTGGCTATGGAGGTTCAATCAAGATGTGGCTGGATTTAAATTTGTTTTTAGAGATAGTATTTTGTTGGAAATTAAAATCATTGTGATTCCATCTAAAAACACTTTCATAGGATGATAAAAGTAAAATAGTAGGTACAAAAATAGAATACAATAATGTTTTTCGTTAGTTTTGTTTTTAAATACAACAAATAATAAGATGAACAACCGTAAACAATAACTTTTTTATTATTATTAAAGATGAATACATACAATAACAAAACGGAAATAAAAAAGGTACAAAATAAATAACGGAAAAATTAACGAATTGCCTGACAGTAAGGGTTATATTATGATAAATAAAATTTATTTAAATTAGATAAACAACAATAGTTGTGTTTTTTCAATTTTCATATTTTTCCAAATTTAAAAAATAAAAAATTGCTTTTGTCGGGAATTGAACCCGCATCGCGAATGTATATTAACCAGAAAAAAAAAATAATTCAGTTACTTTTAAATTACCTCACCCCTTGAAATCGGTGGCAGGTAAAGTTTTAAAACAATACTTTAAATTTTATTATGTTATTATGCTCTCGTAGTTATAGGTTCTAATGTGTCCCAACATATTCCAACACATGACTTTCCAATAAAGTTAGATCAAAGTTCGGTCATAAATTAATGTTATACTTTTCATTAAATATCTCCAATACAATATGTAATTTTTTTTTCCTGACTTCAGGAGAACGGTATTGAAACACATTGCTATTGAATAAAGAGAAATAAAATTATAGGTCCCTGGATGCAGACTGCAACATCCCATGCTTGTTATAGAAAGGGCGTGATTAAACCAATTATTCGCTTTATCGCTCTTAGATCCAAATATAATTAGGCGTCCCATCTTTATTTTGCCTAATGCGTTGGTTTAACATACTGTATCATATAAATTAAGTATAGATAATGACATCACGAAAAACTTTTATTTGAAAAATTTTCTTCTCCACTTAAAAATAACAGATATATACCAAAAAATACAAAAACGAACCCCTATAAAGTACTCCCCCAGTTTTTCCAACTATGCCAAACATTTATCAGCTCTTCAGGGGGCCCTAGAAATTTTATCGTCACATATATATCCGGATTTTTTTTTAAACATGTTTTTAGGGTTCCTAAGATCGTAAAACGTAGAGATCTGGTGATATCTCAAATTCGAATTTTGGAGTGATTGATGTAACATCTTAATTTTTATGGGTTGGTTGGGAAGTTAAAAAGAAAAAACATAGTAGACATGCAATTGCGTCAGAATTATTTTATGAGTATTCATTATAGACATCATATTTATCTAAAGACTGCTTTAGACTACACAATTTCTTACACAAGATTTGATAAAATGTCTTGTACAATTTAAATTGTGTAGTACCATAGACAAATTGTTTAAAAAATCCTATTTTTCAAACAATTTACTGTCTTAACCTTTAACTGGCCTCGTGGGGTACGTACATACCCCCTTATACCCCCACACTCTTTCTCGTCCATTTTCGATATCTAAATCTTCGAAATCGAAACTCGTAACGACATCTATCGGTAGTCAAGGGATATACTTTTATACCTATAGCGATAGCGCTCTCAAAATAAATACCTTTTTTTAAAGACCTATGAAAGCAATTATTATTCTTTTATAGTGATGTAACAGAAGAAGACACAGCTAAAATTTCAGCCCTTTTTATCGAAAAACAAAAAAGTTAAGATTTTTTTTTTTTTGTAAAAAATACATTTTTTTCAAGTTTTCCGGATTTTTTTATGAACGCTGATCTTTATTTTTTCAACTCGGACTATTCTACAGTTTAAAGAGGTATCTACAGAGGATCTCTCTTTGAGACAAAATAATCAATATTTCAATTTTTGCAAAGATTTTTATCACTGGGGTTCGTAAGTACTCCACGAGTCCAGGTATGTTACTCAGGATGAGCATGCCAGGTGAAGGTTAAGATCTTTAGTATTAATTTACTTACTTAAATGAAATCATAAGTCAATTATAGACAACCTTGACTGCAGTAAATCAGGTGCAGACTAAAATGAATTTTGGATATATCACTCAGACAGCTTATTATTACTGTTATATAAATTTTGATGTTTTGAAAAAATCCTATAAGTATTACTATCAAAAAACAAAGGATCTTTTACAGCCACTAAACAAGCCCCATTAACATTTGTAGTTTCGATTGACACTAACCTCCTCAAAAATGTTTGCAAAAAGTTTAAAATTAAATGTAATGTTCTATACAAGTAGGAAAATGAAAATAAAAGCTACTACTTTAAAACAAAAAAAAAATGTAAATTCGTTATAACCGATTGAAAATTGAACAAAATTATCACTTCGTATTTTTTTTTCAGGTGTCATATCAGCCGGTGTGTCAGTTCCAGTACAAATTCCAAGTCAAGCCACCGACCTAGCCTCCAGCTACTGGCCCAGAATTCAGTGATCTCAACTCTTCGGGTTTCCTCCGCCGAGCCTCCTCGTGCCGCAGGAAAACCCGGCCCTGCAACCCAACCTAACGCCCCCTATTGTCACCTCTACGCCACCTCAAGAGTCCTCCTAAGTGTGGAGAACTGTGTGTAACGCAATCACAAAAAATCGAAAACTCCACGATGCGACAGGTAACTGGCTGTTTGAGAGAGTAACACATCGCTGCCATTTTCAGTCCAGTTGAATGTTAATGTGCGACTTAAAAAGTGGTAATTGCAGATTACAGGAATAAAGTTTTACCAGATGGACTGCAGGGTAATGTGTGTTTAGTGTGTACATAGTGGAAAGATTAAATATGGAATTAGTGAACGTTATCCTAGATGAGAAGATGGTTCGTTGGAAAGTTTTGATTTTTTAGATTTGTGATATTCTTAGAGGTTTTTAAAATGCAATTAAAACTTGAAGGACCAACTATAGAACGCAGGCAATTTGATTCCTTACATCCACAGGCTGCTCCAATAATTTTTCTATGTTTGTATCGTACTAAATTAGTTTTTTTTTATATTCATTTTAGTGACATGGTAAATTAATTTTGAATAAAGAAAATAGCAAATTAGGTCCATTTATTTTGCATTGTAAGTAAGTACTGTTTTGATATTTTTTTTTACATATCTCTTTACTATTTTTATTAACGATTTATTTACCAAATGTAATTTTTGTGATTTTTAAACAATTTTTTCACTTTTTGATATAAGGTCAAGACTGATTTTTGTAAACTATTGAAATAGTTTTTATTTTTTAACAATTTTTTCCTTCTCCTTAGTATTATAATTTCACAAAAATTTTCTTTAAGATAGTTCATTTTATTTCAAAATACAGGTCAATTGTGCATTACTAACAACATAGTAATTATTTATTTTTCATTATCAACAAAATCATAGCCAAAAATAATCTCTAAGAATGTGGTTGAAGAAAATTTGTACAAAATATTAGTATTAACTAAATAATGTAAATACTCCAAATGTAAATATTTGATAAAAGTAACTTACCTGCAATTGGTAAATTTTGCAATAATTTGTTACTAAGACAAAAATAGCTTAAAACCGAAATAATTTAAAAATTTAAGAGAGCAACTCTTTTCAGGTGTAAATGGTAATTTATTTTATTTTTCAATAATTTAATAGATACAATATTTAAAAAAATGTGGCCTTTGAAACGCTCTTGATTAACATAATATAATACCAAATGCGGATATAAATTTTCAATTATATTGGGGCTATGTATTATAATGAACCTTTCTATCTTCCTTTACAATTGAAAACGAGTTGCTTTCAACTGAAATAATAATAAAATTGTTCTTACCTTGTACGATAGCAATAACTTCTATGTCACTATTTTTACCATATTCATCCAATAATTATAAGTGTACCAACTGTGTTACTAATGTTTTTTATTACCAGGTGAAAACAAAAAGTTCCTATACAGGTAATTTTTCTAATCTCTTTTGTATTAATTTAGATTATTCAAACATGTTTTTTAGGGTTCCGTACCCGAAGGGTAACCATTACTCTATTACTAAGCCTTTACTGTCCGTCTGTCTGTATCTCGTGATTCATAACAGGTAGACAATTGAAATTTTCACAGAATAGAAACGTGATTTTTTGCTTTTTTGCTCGATCTTAATAATGGCAAAAAGTAGACGCTTGATATCAAATGCTCACAGATTTTGCATTGCTATATTCGCTAAAAAAATAATAAAATTATATTTAAAAATTAAAGGGGGTCCCCATACAGGTGACGTGTTTTTTGGAGTTTTTTGCTCGATTTTAACAGCGTAATAGTGGATTATAATAATGGCAATGCATACAAATCTCTAATTAACAAAATATACCTACTTCAAACTACAACTTAAACATATTTTTTCATTCCTATGAACATTTTAATTCATATTTTGCTTTAATTTGAAATTTAAAAGTATTTTACTCATTATTTTCCCTGTATACCATCTATATTTTACAAAATTTAATACTTGATTATGGATTCCCAAGTAATGCAGAATTTTTTATCAAAATTATTTTTTTTTGTGAAATAAAAGGTACAAGTTTTCCTACCACAAACAATTTCAAATTGATTAATTAAGTAAGAATTAATAGATTTCCGTATTACTGTCAAGTAATCTTAATAAAAACCTCTATTGACGGGTATAATTAAATTAGAAAAATTTACAAATCATTACTTATTGTTATATCGCCCCATTGTTTCTTTTACAAAAGTATTTAAAAAATACCTACTTAGTATTAAATCTTGTAAGATGGTGCGTAACCCTTAATGCGCGAGTTCCGACTCGCACTTAGCCAGTTTTTTTTTTAAATTGAAATAAAATACATAGAATACACCTTATACGAGTATTTTAAATTAAGGTAACGTCACAAAAGAGTATAAATAATTATTGATTTTTTATGGCATTAGACAAGCGAGTTTATTTTTTTTTTATTATTAATTTGTGGTATGTGTAAGCTTTGTTACTGTTTCCCAGCTTCACTTTAGAAACAGCACCGTAAAATAGTACCCAACAGTAAATAGTCGAGTGGGGAATCCTGCCTATAATATCAGAATTAATTTTTAATTAAATTAATAATTAAAAAATCCCGGCCAATGGTGGATTTCGAACCCCGAACCATTTAGATTCGCAAGTCCAGATTTTAACTGAGCCATTAAGAATTATTGTCGATAAGAAGAAACATAAAACTACACTCACCGACTTAAAATTTGATCCATTCAAAAATAATGATTTATTTAAAAATGCTCTAACTTTCAAATGCGGAGGCTGGGGCTTCGTGCGGGCCCGAGGACCATAGCAGACACATCTGCCTGTTAGATCCGTTGTGGGATTTGTATTACAAGCTCACCTAAAGCCTACACACATTAGTAATTTTATTCTATACAGCATCATAATGCGTAAAATCTGTTTTAAGCAAGTATTATAGGAAGGGTCAAAACGCCGCAGGATTTAGTCGAAAGCTATGGAAAAAAATCAAAAATCCGAAGGGACAGGCGCCCCCTTACCCTGGTGTGGCGGCGCCCATGATACAGATTATTATTTGATCCATAATTGCTCACTGATCTTCGTGGTCTAAATCCACATTGATAGTCACATACAATGTTTTCTGATATTTGGATAAATATTTATTAAATAGTTATTGGTAGTATTTTATATTATGAACAGCTATGCCCTGTAATTTTCACATTCACTTTAATTTCTCTTTTTATGTAATAAACGAATCATTAATATAGGTATCTGCAACAACGACAACAACAATCAGAAATTATATACGGCGCAGAATCCTGACATCAGAGATTCGTTTCTGATCGTTGTTGGAACAGGACTTTGGTAAAGGATTACTCATAGATTTCTTGTTTGTTTCTTAATGACAGGTTTCAAGCTAACTAGTAATTTTCTGTTTAAATGTATAGTGTCTTTAACCTGCTTAGATATGCCTACTTGGCCAATAAGTTTAATATAAAAGTTTTCCTTGTTATACAGCATTTTCATTTTTAACACGCTTATATTAGCTTCACCTGTATGTATGTATGTATGTTTGTAACTCTCCTTTGGAATCAAGTGGCTTATTACTGTCAGTACATCCCACTAAGTCAAGTTCGTTTGTGGCCGAGAGGTCTAACGCGCGGCTTTTCGATTGCCGGACTCACCGATCGTGGGTTCTAATCCCCACGGCTGAAAAAAAAAAATAATTTCAGCAATTTTTTTTTAATAATTAATCGAACTAAAAAGTAAAAAATAAATATAGTTTAAAAAAACTAAAAAACACGCTTTTATAATACATCGAACTAAAAAGTGAAAAATAAATAGTTTTAAAAAAAACTAAAAAACACGCTTTTAGAGCATATCAAACTAAAAAGTTAAACATAATTTTTCAAATAAGCTTAAAACAATAATAAATGGAAAATACTAGTATTATTGTGAAAAAAGCTTAAAACAATAATAAATGGAAAATACTAGTATTATTGTGAAAAAGGGTGGGGCGCTTTGTCCATATTTCTCGTACATCGAGCGCCCGACGATAATAGAACTGCTTCATTTTAGTGTTTTGAAACCATGTCAAAAATATGGCTCATTTTAAGTTCAATTTAGTCCAGTTTTTCAAATGCAATACCTTGTATATTATGTTAGCATTAAATTCGGTATGAATTTACCTATCCAACGATATCAAAATTTTAGTTTATTATACAGGGTGTCGGTAGTTGTTTTGTTATTGGAGATACAAAGACATTTTTAGTACAAAAGTTGTACGACCATATTTTACAATTATTCTTAAATAAGCATTGTAGTCCATAAATGAAGAACTTATACTTTTTTAGACAAACAATCTGTAATAGACTTAAAATTTCTAAAATGCTTTCTATCTTCATTCATTTGCTATGATACCTAAACGTGAGATTACGATATTCTCAATTTTTTCAAATGCATTTCCCAATATACCAATTTATAAATAAATTAATTTTTTTATTTTTTGGCAGTTTCTATACTAAAACGTATATTTTCTCGAGATTTTGGTTTTATTATAAAACTTAACATTTTTCTAATTCTAATTGGATTCAGAAACAAAACTAGACATAGGCAGGTCTAATTGATTTTCACAATTCCTCGAATAAAAACAATTCTCTTTTTAACTTAATTTCTCAGAAAATAACAATGTTTTGTGTCCTTATTATCATCAGTAGCATATACGGGGTAGCGGGTAATGGGGGTAATTACCCCCACAAGAGTTTTTAAAGCTAACTTTTTTATAGGTACTAAAAATGTATTATTATTAGAAATAAAGTCTTAAATATTACCACTACTAGACTAAAACTCTAGATGCGCCACTGGTTACCAAATTTAAAACATCTAGATAATTACAGGTAAAAATCAAGGACCGTTACAGAGATGTCATGATTTGGTAAAATGCAAAAAAAAATTGGCGGAATTAATTAATTGGTGGCATAACATACAGGATATTCAATTTTAAAAATTAAAACCTAACGTTTTTGACACTTCCTATATACAACAGCAAATGAACGACGTCTTTTAAAATTGTTTGACGATGCAAAAACAATCAAATATATGTAACTACCTATAGGGTGTTTTGCTTTAAAAAAGTACAAGCTTTGCCAGCCTCTCGTTTATGCACCACCCTGTATATTTAAGAATAATTGTAAAATATGTTCATACAACTTTTATATTATTTTTTTTTGTCTATTTCCAATAATAAAACGGCTATCGGTCAATTACGCATTTATGGGACACCTTGTATGTGTAAATAGGCTAATATGTTGCTAGAGTTGGATAGAAAAATTTATAAACAAAAAATCTAACATAATATACAGGGTGTTGCATTTGAAAAAATTAAGTTTAAACTAAACTAACAGTTAACAGATATATTTAAGATGTTTCAAAACACTCTAAAAAGAACCAGTACTAGCACCACTATTCGTTAGCTTGGTATCTTATAAGTCTGTATTTTAAACTATTTTGAAATCATTTATTCATTCATTGAAACCTTCCTAAATTATGATACTTTTATTTGGAATCTGCATCATTCTCTAATTTTACAAAATAATTAATTGCTTGGCAACCCTCTATTTTTGAAAATATTCTAGGGCTGAATCATTACCAAACCATTCTAAAACTGAAATAAAATAATAAAAAGTGTTCAATTAAAAAAATTACATGTTCATTTGCCGGGCAAAAGCGTAACACCCTGTATATCCAAAAATATTTTTAATGTATGCCTTTTTCAAATCCATTAAACTTTTATTTAAAACTTGTTTGCCTGTCTATAACACAAGTTGAAATGTCAAGGCAATTACACACTAATGGGATTTTTGAGTATAAAATCTTAAAAAATCTAACTAATTTATCTTTGCAAAACTATTATTAAATTTAAAATGAGGTAATATTTCCATATTTGATAACACAAAATAGTCATTCCCTTATTATTTTAAATTATTTAAAAAAATCATGAAATGTCAAAACATTAAACAATTGCCTAGAAGAGAGCTGTCATTCTGACCACCCTGGGTACGGCCTTGAATATACCCATATCTTCAATTTAAATTTAAAATATTAAAATAGCGGACAACTACCTACTAACAAATGTCTTTTAAACAAACAATACATTTACTCTAAAAATAAATCTACTTTCTAAATTGAGAAGTTAGAAAAATCACTAAATTAAAATTTTGTTCTTTTTGTGACTATAATTATTATTTCCAATTACCCTAAAAAATAATGTAAATACATTATTTTGTAAATAACAAATTTTATAAGAAGTTACACCTTTAAATTATAAACTTTTTGTTTTCACCAGGTACATTTTGGCTTTCTTTTAATTTATTAAACTCAGTGCTTCTCTTCTTTTTGTAGAGTGTATAGTGATATTTAAGAGTATTAATAATATAAATGTTGTGTATATTCTTGTTGCTGTGATTAATTTTTAAAATAATATTATTAATAATCGATGAAACGTTGATTGTAGGATTAGTATATATTTCTGTGTAGACGTGTATAGTTAAATTTGTGGACTAATAAAAAAATATACATTAATTTTGTTTGTATTTAATTTATTATCCAAAATATACAATTTTTTTAATGGTGATATGGTATACAAAGCAGACAAATTTTAAACTTCGTTGGTAAGTATATTTACTTAATTAATTAATAAAAGACAAATGTAGTTTTTTATTTATGACCTAAAGGTAAAAACAATTTCACCTCACTATAAAAAGAATAAACAATAAAAAATTATATCCTACCTACGACCACGCACTTAAAAATGTGTATAAAAACATCAATAATTATTATTCGGACATTATTTCATACAAAAGGGCAAAAAATCGTTTAATATTCAATTTAATATTTTTACAATTTTTAGTTTAATTTATTAACTTTAATACATGAAAAATTAAGAAGAATCTGTATTACCTTTTTTTGTATGTATCCTAAAATTATAATATTGCCGGAAATGTTACTTCCAACTTACTGCCACCAAAATTTAACATTTATATATTTTCTATTTTTCTAAAAAATGTGGTCATAGATAAAATGTTGAATCACACTGTGTGAAGGAAGGGCATTAAGTATCATAAATATTGATGTTATTAAAGAAATTTTATTCTTGTAAAATATACTACCTTCAAAGTGATTAGATAGAAAGCACCATTAAATACATACACAGTAGAACAGCCATACTCAACCTGCGGCCCGCGGGCCGCATGTCAAAGCTTTTTTTGCGGCCCGGAACACTATTAAGAAGGTGCTTTTTAAAACACTAGGTTTCTGTTTTTAAAATCGTGAGCGAAATGCGCAAAAATATTCATCGGTCACTGCGCTAAATATCACGCTAATTTTTTAAATAAACGTTTGGGTTGTGGAGATACTGCAAAAACAAGATAACTCCACTTTTGGCATTTTTGAGTTACACTTTGTCTCCAAAATATTTCAAATAATAAACAAGGCAAGTGGAACGAAGTCTATATTCATGATAAACAGATGACCAATAAAAACTAACTTCATATTAATACATTCACAATATGCACAAACAAGATAAGTGACATTTCCGAAACATTGTGTTCAACTGCTATAACCTCCCATAGACGTCCTGATTTGGTCCCTTGTTGTTCCGGGATCTAAATCAGACGTACACTGGATTTTCGATTAACGTGAACACTAGGACGTCCTTCGAAAGACGTCCTCCGAACGTCCTATTTTAAACCCATTTCGACAAAACGTTCAGTTTTCGGTTCAAGTCCAAGACGTTAATGGGACGTCCGTGGGACGACTATGGAACTTCCTCTGTACTGGCATCGTTGGTATTTGAATCGATAACTTGAAATTCAACGTTTTGTTTTTACAAGAGAAGGAGAAGGACAGAAAACCTACCCTATCATTTAATTTCAAATAAACAGCTACAATTTTCGGGATTAAAAAATTAGCTTATATAAGTGAGTTAGAGTAGCTAAGAAGAAAAAAAGGTTATATAGTGCTATTTGTTATTTTTTTTGATGCTGGTGGTAGAGTGGTTATAAATTAAAGTGAGTGTTCTGTGTTGTGGTGAGAATAAATGATCTGTGTTGGCGGTAGCGCTGTTGGAAAGAAAATAACTCAATGGTGGAAAATCGGAACAAACCTAATTTTGACAAAATTATAAAACTCAGTTATGTCAATACAAGCTATAAGCAGGTCCCAAAGTTTTACCTTACTACCACTGTGTTACAATTTAATTAATTCCTGTTTTTTTTTTGTAAATTGAAAACGTTTAACACTAGCTCCTTTTCAGAATAAAAGTTGTTAAATAAAGTTATTTTATTGTTAACATTTTTGTTATTATTACCCGTAAAGGTCCCTATGATGTTCTTTTGGGATGTCCGATTTACGTCCCGGTACCAGAAGAGGACGTCCTTCATGTCTCTGAATGACGTTTTTTAGACGTCCATAAGATGCTCATGTGCTATATAGATAGTGTGTCTATCAAAACCAGATAAGAGACATATCTTATTTTTAATAAATGTATTTAGGCCGATTCCTAATAGCGTTTCTGCCAAAAAAAGATCCAGAACACTTATTTTTCTTGAATGTATTTATTGAAATACTTCAACATTTTGCCTAAGCCATTTGTTTTGTCTAGAGCCGTCTCTGGTCTTTCTCGATTGCTCCAAAATCGACAAGGTGATTATGTTACCCTCTCTTTAAGATACAGCTAACTTTCAAAAACCAATAGAGGCATGCCTGAAAGGGTGAAAAATATAGTTCTGAAAATACTTAGAAAAAATTGCAAGATTTACTAAAACTTTGCAAATCAGGTGCTACACCTGAAGAATTTCACCATTATTATCACAATCTACCTGTATCCAATAATGTTAAAGACACGGTACCTTATTCTTTCATTGAAAATAGTGACGCATACATTAAATATTATGATCTGTAGACAGCTAAAATAAGCTAAGTAACGTTTTTTCTTTTGTTTTTGTTACCATTCTATGTAGATTCTTAGTATATACTTTGTAAAGACTAATTATGTTTTGAATACGTTATTAAAGAGTTTTAAGCTTTTACTACTTTTTTATTCAATTTTAACAGCGTTTTCTTGAAACTCTAAAAATGTGAGTTATTTTGCTTTTCCAGTAACCTTACGAAATATATTTATGTTTTATTTATTAGAGGTCCCTACCAATTTTAAATGGATAGTCTAAAAAAGGTTCATCTTCTAAAAATATTGCGGCCCGTATAACATAGCAAACATACGAATATGGCCCGAAGAAAAAAAAGGTTGAGAATGGCTGCAGTAGAATGTGGTAAGTGCTGAAGAAGTTTAAAGGAAAAAAATTCCAAATAAGTTGTTCTTAAGGCACTTATCAAGTCGATAAGATTATATAAAATAGTTTTGATTAAAATTAATATACAGACTTTTGTTCAAATGGCATCCCATTTCTTTTTAATACTAAATTGTCAATTGTCAACTAATTGGCTCTCATTAAAATGTATTACTAATTTGTAAAAACAGCACCTGTTTTGTCCTAGTTTTGTAACCATGTAAAATTCTTTCTTTTTTATTAAAATCAGACTTAAGTAAATTACATACATTACTCGTAGTATGAATATGTAGTATAACTTGGAGGAGGACTCGGTGGAGCAAATATATCGTGATATATCAACGGCGTAGTTTCGGATACCCTGGATTCTGTCAAAATGACATTCCTATTCGGCGGGAAAGGTGGTTTACCAACCTGGTGGCGTAGTTGGATGAATACTCCAAAGATCAAAAGAAGGACCCACAGTAGAGCTTGCACAATATCTGAAAATGTTATAACATCTAATTTTTTTTGCATATAGGAGGTCGTTAAAATATACAAGGTGTAAATGAAATATATCGACATATTAAAACCACCAGGCCTACCTTTTGGATATATCGAAATTTTACTGTTAAAATCGATAATGTATTTTTTGGAGTTCTCGAAAACTACTAAATCAATCCAATATTACATGCGTCATCGGACTTTAAATTATCCAAACAAAATTAGTTTAGCTGTTTATTATAGTGGGTGATATTTACCCATATCAAATATTACCAAGATCGAACACTAGATTAATGTTTCAAAAATACCTTCATTACCCCTTTCGTTCCTTTAATGTCAGTGCTTTCGATTTTTTAAAAAAGCTCCCAAAATTATTAAAAAATGTATGTCTTAAGTGAACATACATTTAAACTCGATATTTTGTGCTATAGTAGCAACGCTTATTTCATTAGAAATTAGTGTGTTCCAATTTCTGCACGAAAAATTACGAGCGATTTTATGCTATAATTCATTACTTTACCAGATGGTTGTATATACAGGAACATAGGCGTACGAAATTTTGAAAAATGCATCACATTTCACTTTCGTTTACTACAAAACTTTTCTATTGTATTAATAAAAATAAGTCAATCACTAAACAATCAAAGAGAAAGAGACCAATTACTAATTTATAAAAACAGCACCTACAAAAACAGCACCTGTTTTACCCTGTTATGTAACCGAGTAACATTCTTTTTTTTTTTAACCAGACTTAATTACATATATTAATATGTAGTATAGTATGGATTATAACTTGGAGGAGGACTCGGTGGAGCAAATATATCGTGATACAGCAGTGGCGTAGTTTCGGAGACTCTGGATTCTGCCAATATGACATTCCTATTCGGTGGAAAAGGTGGTTTACCAATCTGGTGTCGTAGTTGGATGAATACTCCAAAGAGCAAAAGAAGGAGCCACAGTAGAGCTTGCACAATATCTGAAAAGGTTTGAACTTCTAAATTTTCATTTTTTCAGCTTTAGGAGATTGTCAAAATATACACTAAACAAATAAACGATATAAAAATGCAAATTAAATTAAACGCTCCATAAGAAATTTAGAACTAAACTAGATAATTTTAGTTTTAGATATTCATTTAAACTCAGATATTTTGTGCTATAATAGCAAGTCGATCTCATTAGAAATGACTGAAACGACAGTAGTATGCCTTCCCAATACGGAATGAAAAATTACGAGCGTCTCCTCAACCAGATGGTTGCACATACAGAAACATAGGCGTACGAAATTTTTATAAATGCGTCGCATTCTATTTCCATTTACTACCAAACTTTTCCATTGTATTAATAAAAAAGCCAATCACAAAACAAACAAAAAGAAAGACCAAATGAATAACACTACGAAATAACATACATTTTTAATATTCAACCCTTAACTAATTTTAACAAGTTCAGTAGTTGTTGAAAAATCCAATCCCTTTTTAAAGTACCCTTAAAGCTACAGTTTGCTCTCTAAAAAAATGATATGTCCAAAAAAAAATGCGGATCCATTTATTTTTATAGATCTCGAAATAAGTTAGAAAAACAAAAGTTCGAATTTTCAAAAATTCAACTGGAAATTTTTTCGAAAGTACAAAAGTTCGAAAAGTCAAACAATAAAAAATCGAAATTACAAACGTTCGACAGTAAAGATGGTCGAATGTCTAATATTATTTTTAAATTAATTTCGAACTAAAAAAAAAGAGAAATGTATAGATCTCGAAATAAGTTCGAAAAACAAATGTTCGAATTTTATAAATTCAATTGAAAATTTTTTCGAAATTACAAAAGTTCGAATGACAAAATTTCGAAAATACATAAGTTCGAAACAAATAAAGTCGAACAATAAAATTTCGAAATTACAAACGTAAAATTTGTTTTGAACATTCTTTGGCATCGCATTGATCTCTCGGCTACGCTATACGGGCAGGACACATACGGCCTGGAGCCATTGCAGATTGCTTCGCAACCCATGATCTTTTTTTTTAAACATCCTCTGGCTTCGTTCTTATCTCAAGACTACGCTTTTGTACGGCATGGGGCTATTGCCGATTTCTTCGCAACCCTTCAACTTTTTTTTAAACATCCTCTGGCTTCGTTCTGAACTTTCGGCCTTTATCAAAAGGAAAACGAATATAAAGTAAGTTGCCTCATTATTTCAAGAATTTTCTTAATTTTTTTAAAGAAATTTTATACTTTTTTTTTATTTCGAACGTTTGCAGTTTTTAACATTTTTACTTTCGAACTTTTATAATGTCAAAGTTTTGTCATTTAAACCTTTGTATCTTCGAACTTTTGTGATATCGAAGTTCTGTTATTAGAATTTTTATAGTTAGAACTATTGTTTTCAAAATTTTGTCAATTCGAAATTTCCTTATTTAAACTTTCCTATTTTTTCTTTTTTAATTTGAACTTATTTCACCAACTACTACTAACACTCCGATTAAAAGGCCGCATAGATCTGATCTCTTCTTATTTAGTAAACGCCGCTACTGCCGGTTTAATTATTGTCGAGAGGAACACACACGCACCTTGCCGGTTATGTGATTTCGGATAATTTCACTATTCTGTAGGGAATGATACCTGATAATTAATTTCGTTTATTGTTTGTTAGTAAGAGTATCATTTTAGAGAAGCTTTGCTAAAATTCGCGGTAAATAAAAATAAACCAAAAATTACTATTGATCGACATCGATTTTTTGTGGCCAATACCGATATACGCATGGCCGATACCAATATATGGATATTTCATTATAAAATGGACTGATTATGCCCCTTAAACAAAAATTACTAAGAAATAAAATCAGGTAAACCAAGAGGTTCAGGACAACATCCCTGACTGGATTTCTCAAGGTGTGTTTTGGAATACCTTTGAAGAACTGACAGGTATGACAGCAAGTAAATCAACACCATAAAGGACGAAGACTGGTACATATGATGAACAAAATTGACGGTGACCTTAACATTTACTTCAAAAATGGAGATCCATTGATTTTGTGGCTACAAAAATTAGAAATTTTTCTTCAACTATAAATATAAATGTGCCATAATATACTTAGCACCCCCACCAAGTAGTGTGGCTAGTGAACAGCTATAATAAAAATCGATCTGTTTTTGCGTTTCTTTAAAAAAAGATTCTATTTCAAGATATGAAAGCACAAGAAATCGTCTAACCTCAGAAAGTTTAATTTTGTTGCATTTTAAAGTATCAAAACTTGACTTAAAATATTAAAAAAATATGTTTTTTAACTTAATCTTTCCCTTTTAGATTTTCCTTTTTTTTTAATTTTAAAGAAAAATATAAATTGTTTTTATATAATATTTGTGTTCTAATTTCTGTAAAATATTCTTCGCAATCAAAATAATTAAATATTTTTATTAGGCCGATACCGATATAGGTCGATGTTGACTTTACATATCGGCCGATACCGATATCAGTCGATCCCTACAAATTACGTTACGAAAATAGCTTTATTTCCTCCCAATTCCTAGGAAAATCCTTTGCAATTCCTCGATAACGCAATTTTCCAGAAATTCCTCGACATTCCCGCAATTTCCTGGATATATATTTCTCAGAAATTCTTTGCAAATTCCTTTGTAAATTTCTCGCAATTTCCTACTGTTGTACACCTAATTCCCTGTGCAAAAAATAAACGAAACGATATGTGGACGAAACTATAGGCGAACGAAACGAATATGTGTGAAAAAAATATGAAATTGTGGCATTGGTTCCGGTCTAGACCTGCTGACGGAAACGCTCCATTCGGTTTCCTAGCCCTCTCTCCATGAAGCACCATAATCTTCAGTTAAAAAAAAAAAAAAAATAGAAATAACCTTATTTGAAAGAATCGATACGGCACGATATTGAGACTATGTATGAGATAAGATGTGTTGATGTGTTTACCCTCTCCATAATAAATTGTTTCGACTAAGTGGAATGTATGCACTGATTTTTTACTAATATGTTGGGTGACTACGAATAAGAAAATCACCTGCTTCACTAAAAAACTCCTGTATTTCTTTAATCGCATAAAAGAAAACGTTTACATCACTGACCTGTTGTACCTACTACATTTGTATGATTTAAAACTAAGAAAATTAATCATAGTATTGAATAATTTAAAAATTAGCAAAATTCCAACATGGCGATGCACGTCGGTTTTTTAAGGTGTGTTGTTGAAGATGAGGTGAGAAAAATGATTCTGCAGAGGACACGAATCCAAAGGAAGGTGGTTTGTCGCATCGGTTAGGTTCAACCAATCATTTGCGAGCCTGCGCTCACGTGAGAGCATTTATAAACATTTTGTGGTTTGTATTTAGCGCAAAGGAGAGTGATGCACCTCTTTGGATTGTTTTTAGAAAATGCCAGGGGTGTTTTAAGTAAAATGTGATGAAGCCTTTCAACAACCAATATGTGTATAGAATTTTTAAATAAGAGTATAATAAAAATGTTAAAAAAAATTGTACCCTTACGTTTTATAAAGACACTAAAATTACTCATAGTCAGTACAGAAAGATTAAGCCATAATTCGTGCGAAGTTTATACGTTAAAAAAATTATAAAATACGATTTTCTTACCTATCATTTGCATTGGAAAATCTATCACAGCAGTGTTAAAATCTTTAACAGCCACCCTTCTATATGTGTTGATTAAAATATAGGGCATATTTCCACCCACGTAAAAACTAAGAGCTGCAACACATCCATAGGCACCCAAAAAAGCGATGGCAGAAATATGTCCAATCAACATTAGGGGTAAGGAAATGATGATACATAGTAGAATAACGGACATGAAGCTTAGCCAGAAATTCACAGAGTTAGTGAGTACATAGATATCAGCTGAAAAATAAAAACATTTATTTTAATTAATGCGTAGAAAATCGTTCATTAATTGCCATCGATGAATGATTTTTCTATTTTAAAATAATAATAGGCAAAACATAAATATACAACAAATAATAATAAAATTCAAGATGTGATTATTTTTCAAATAAAATCAATTATTTCAAGTTATTGAGAATCTGATTAGTCAAAAATTGTTTGTAACTACTTCATACAGAACCTGATCGGAAAAAGAAGAGCCATAATGTCACATTCGCGAATCTATTACGGTTGCGCCCCGACATGCTATAACTTGAGACAAGACGGACATAAACTTCAGCATTTTTCTATTTAGGGCTATATACAGGAGTCGGTATAAGTAGTCTTATACGAAATCAATAAAACACTTATTTGGTTTAAATTTGCGGTTTGCAATTCTGGTTAATGATTAAGAGGTAATTACTATGGCAAAGTATAACAAGGCAAATAAGTGGTTGGCGCATCGTGACGTATATTATGCTCTTCTTTATTCAAGCCGATTCTATTCTATAAATCACAATTTTTTCTCTAATTTGAATTTATACCTTATTTTTATTAATTACTTTTGCCTGCAATGATATTAAATAGCAATTACTGACCTAAAACTGTATTGAACAGTAGTGAAGCTGCTAAAAATCCTGACATTATAAAAGCCAAAGTTACAGTTAGCACAGGGATGCCAAACCTACGCCAAATTAAGAGCCAAATGATACCATAAAAGAATCCTACAGTAAAGGCAGTAATGGTTCTTTCTACAAAAAAAAAACAAAATCATCAAAGGTATTTATAGTACTTTTCACAACATTGTTCCAAAACATTCTTTATAAACAAGCTACATTTTGTATTTATCCATTTTGCTCATTTCCTTGTACCTCATGAACCACATTGTATATTTTTTTCTATTCAGTTTATATATTAATTGTCCAGCATGAATCCGAAGAGCGGATAATTAAAGAAGAATTATGTTTAAAAAAAAATTAATTCAATTATAAAACAATACATCGTATATTAAAGTTTTAAATTTTGTCTGCATATTTGAAAAGAGCAGAAAAAATAAATGACTTTCGTATTTCCGGTTACAATTTTTGTTTTTTATTAATCTGAGTCAAATCTAAATGTTATGAAAATTGAGGAGTATAAAATTAAAAAAATTGTTCCTAGTAAATAATTTTATCAGTTGTAACTGTACCGTTTAGTTATTTAAACAGTTTGTTTTGATTATAGTCACCAAAAGATTTATTTATTTTCTCAATTTATTTATACTAATTTATATAGAAATACACCTTCACATGCTTGTTTTTTATTTTTATTTTAATTTTGACTGCATCCGAAGATGAAAAAAAAAATAATTTCCGAAAACTTATGTAGTGCTGTGCTAAACGATTGAAAATAAAAACAATGACCGATTAAACCAAGGAAATTTTTATTTATATATAATTTATATCCCGTTTACTAATAAATACACTAATTTACATTGGCATTATTTATCTGAACAGAACAATATATTAACCAAAACTTAAAACTCCAACGGCAAAACAGTATATTTGAGGCGTGTCATTTCAAAAGGGCCTATATCCATTTTCGATGAAAAATGAGTACACCGCTGTTTTAACTACTGTGTAGCCCGGGGCACACTCTTAAATGTGCCAAAGTGGGCTTTATCCCGTTGAAAAATAATATCAAAATACTCATATCGCGGCAAAAGGTTCCATATTTAGAAATATGAACGCGTCAAATAGGCCTATATCCAATAAACCAATCAGATCTCTCAAAATCCCGCCCAAAGTTAATTCCTGTTGCTTCAGTTTAAATATGACAGTGTGTTAGTTGATATTTATGAACAGCAATTTTTAGTTTTGTGTTGTGTTTGTGTTTATTATTATTGTTAAGGGCACTATGAACGAAAGTATTACCCCAGCGGAACCGGGAAAAGCTAGACGGACGCCTGGGGATCGTAGCAAATGGAAAAGGAACATGGAAAAATTCAAAAGGTAAGTTACCATATTATGTTCATATCTGCAACAATCACTAGTGCTCATTTCTTGTATCCGTTGGTCATTTTTTGTTACTTACGTAGTATTGAATGGTTATTGTTTTTAGTATCTATTGGCGATTACTTATGTTAGCGCTAATATTATTTTTTATTATTTAAAATTTTATTGGAAACTATCACGCTCTTTTCTTGTTGCAGATATGAACCCACAGGTCCACCACCATACCCTAGTTGGTACCACTTTAACAAATCTTACAAGTGCCGGAAGTTAAGAATGAGGGATATTAAGGAATTCCACCAGAATTTTTATTCGACGCGCGAAAAAACCTCCAGGATGCTTCTATCATCAAACACGTAATATAAAAAGACCTACCTCAACAAAAAAAGTTAGCACAAACTTCTACATTCGAGTTTCGGGTACTAACGCATTTTGTCCACGCGTGTGTCAGCAAAGTTTCATTAATGTCCTCCAAATATCACGCAAGAGAGTTCAGTCTTTAGCTAGAAAATTTCTGACAACTGGTAGGATACCTATTGATAGAAGAGGAGGAGCAAGACCAAAACCCATCTATGAGAGAAGAAAAGCCGCTATTAAAGCATTTATAGAAAATTTAAAATGCTGTGAAAGCCACTCTCGAGGAAAGTCCATTAATCGGCGTTATTTGCCAGGAAATTTAAGTATTAATAAATTATATCGCATGTATAACAACGAGCAAACGGACGAATCACTGAAATCGAAAAAAACGTTTTGGCAAAAAAATTTGACGACGCACTACAATATTGGATTTGGAACACCCACCACGGACGCTTGCTCTAAATGTATAGAACTTAAAGCTAAGAGCAATAAAGAAACCAATCGTTCTGATAAAAATAAGTTAATGGCGGAATTTGCGTTTCACACAATGCGGTACAAAGCGTTTTTCCGAAAACTTCAAGAAAAAAGAGACGGTCTCCTAACATTAAGTTTCGACTGCCAAAAGAACATGGTTCTGCCAAAAATTCAAGATCAGACTGCCTACTATAGTAGACAACTTTATATGTACAATTTTACTATCGTAAAAGGGAGTTCAAAAGACTGCTTGACCAGGGAAAATGTGTATTGCTATTGTTGGATGGAGCATGAACACAAGAAGGGCGCGAACGAAATTGCATCAGCGGTGTTCCATCTATTGTCACTCCTTGATTTGTCATCCTATTCAATGATTAGGTTGTGCGCTGATGGTTGCGGCGGTCAGAACCGCAATTCAATTATGATTGGAATGCTTAGGTACTTCTTAATACAAGTTGCATCTTGCAACATTGAAAAAATAGAACTTATTTTCCTAATCACTGGACACTCGTTTTTGTCAGCAGACCGCGTGTTTACGTCCATAGAGAAAAAACTACGAAAACAACCAGTAATAGTAGAACCAACAGAATATGAAACAATTTATTTAGAGCATTCCACTGTATTTAAAATGGGTAAAGACTTAAAGGTATACGACTGGAAAAGTTTAGCAGAGACTTACTACAAAAAAACTACATCGTGGCACTTCAAGTTTAATGAAGCAAAACGTTTCATTCTCAGCAAATCTACTCAACTAAATATCTAGGTTAGAGGTGAAACATCTTACAACAGTGACTTGAATAATGGTAAATTGGTTTTTAAAAAAGGTGTTAAACTAAGGTCTATCGCATTTCCAGATAAAATACCAATGGGAGTACCTTTGAAAGCAGCAAACATCGATGATGTTAAAAAACTTCTGACGAAACACTTTGGCGAAAACTGGGATACAATGGCGGAATGTTCTTTCTATAAAAATGTGATCTTGGGAAATACGGTCGAGATAACAGCCCACAATAGGAGAGCGGAGGACATGGAAGACCACGGCGCAGATGATGATTTTTGCGAGGGACATGCAGATGAGCAACTTGCTGATTGTGTGTAAAGCTTTGTTTGACCAAAAATGTTCGTTATCAGTTTTTTAGAGTTTAAATTATATTTTTGTAAGCAAGTTGCTAATTATTATTAGACAAAATAAAGATACTCTTTTTCATTGTACTTCGATTATTTAATTATTGTGTTAAATCAGCCTATATCCTCATACGGTTGGAGCAAAAGTTCCTTTATCCACTTGGCTACAGCAAAAGGGTCTATATCCAAATTTTGAAGTTAATTTACAACTCTTTTTGGCATTTAACGTTTAGTTTCTTTTTGTATTTTGATATTACAGGTTTGTAAAAATAATTGTTCTGTATCTATTACAACCACAAGATTCATGTTAAACAGTTTTTCGCGAATTCTGGAAAACTAGTGAGAGTGGATAAAGACCCTTTTGCGGTGACACGCCTCATTTATACACATATGTGGCAGTTCTCGAATGTTCCAGACATCTTTCGACTAGAACATACATCGGCGGATTCACCAATTTAAACGAAGGTGCTTGCGCCAAATTTATTGTCTTTTGATCATACATCGACAGGTCGAGTAGATACGTACATTCTAGAATGAGGATTACTTCGACTGACGCTGACCATGGGCGTATCATAATAAAGTCATGAACCTTTTTATATTCTTGTAATTTATAGGACGAAATGTTAATGCAGAACGACTCGACAGGTCTGTATTTAAGACAAATTAATAATTTGAATTAACTTATAAACACCCTGTATGAGTAACGAAATTATAGTAATATTTTTGTTAATTATTTTAAATTTTAAACAAATAAAAAGAGAAAACATTCACATTTAGGGCGTTTGTAAGTTATTCATTGAAATTTTGTTCCAAATACAGATCTGTCAATTCGTTTTGTATTAAGATTGTGACCCACAAATTAATAAAATATAAAAAGATTGATGATTTTATCAACTACAACTGGTAATTTTTATTTCATATCCACTATTATCGAAACACTTAGATTTGACTCAAATTAATAAGTAACAAAATTGTATGTGGATATACCAGCGACATTTAGTGGAACTTACTTTTTTGCTCTTTTCAAATATGCAAACAAAATTTTAAAATTCTATTATTTTGAAGTGAATTAAATTTGTTGATTTTTTTAAGTTCGGAACTGATTTTTCAACTTTTATTTATTACGAGTATATTTATTCAGCACCACACTGGACAAAGATTAGAGGTATGTAGTTAATGTGAAACAAAATATACAGTGTCGTTTGTAAGTTATGAATAATTAGCAAAATGTATCTCGGCAATAAACAATAATATAAACTCAATAAATATAGGTTATTTAGAACCACCTCGTTGTCCCCCTTTAACCCTTAACGTATGAGCACTTTTTAATGAATCACCCTGTATAAAACTATTTCTAATAAGTCGTAAATAAATGAACAAAAATATTACTTATTATTAATAGATTATAAATTAAAGTTTCTGACATGTCTGATTAATAGTAAAATAAATAATAAATTAAAACTAAATTTATTGATTCTATATGGAAAACTACTATTAAATATTGCAGAGAAATATTTTTTGACATTAGTTATTTTATTACTTACCAGTAAACGAGTAATGTTCTTCCATTGATATCACTAGATAGGTTACTGTTAATCCGAAAGAAAAACTTATGATGTATAAAGTTAACTTAAAAAATCGATGTCCAAAGAAACATATAAATAATCCAAAAATAAGTAGACAAGCGCAAAAGAATTTCCAATGAATTTCAACTGAAATAAAAAAAAATATACTAAAACGTGATGGTATAATATATTATGATAAATAATAAATTTCAGTTTTAACATTTCGTTTCTTTTAATACTTGACAAATTAATAAACGTCAAAACTCAAAAACACTTAGTTGCACTCTTATATAATATGATAATTTCGGATTTAAATAATTTACAGTGAATATACCAAAAATCACGATTAATTTAAATGTCTATATAAAGCACTCTGCACTCTATATATTTGACAAAAATATTGTGCAATATAACAAAATTACACATCACAAAATAATTTTTTTCAAGTTTTACGATATTTGCAATAAAACAATTTTTATTTGGTGAGGAAAATAAGACGAGTGCATCAGTCAGTGGCGGCTCGTGGTAATTTGAAATGGGTATTCACTTTTTCCAATACTTTTATCATTTTTGTAAGTTCGGTCCAAAACTTTGTACAAGAGCCAATATCGCTTTTTTTTTATTATTTGAGTTTGTATTAAATGTAGTTATTATCAACATCATACTATTTTCAAGCACTATAACTATTAATAAATAAATATTTAAGTTAGTGTGATATTTGTTTTGTTTTTAATACATTGAAAACCACCTATAAACATTATTAATGAGTAAACTGACTATTATTCATAATTTGAGATTATTTTTAACTATATATAAGGTTATGTAGAAAGCTTGACATTGATTTTTGTGTAAAAAATATTATATGAAACTTTACCTACCATTTTTCAGTTTTAATTGTAAATTTAATCATTTTTACAATTTGTCACAGATGTCAAATAAAAAATATGTTTTTTAATTACCTTTTAAAATAATAACTTTTAAATAAAATAAGAACTAAAATGTTGTAAATGTTTATTTTATGATATCAGTCCCATCACAATACATACTATTACACAAATAAAAACTAGAATAAAGATATATAATGCCTGGCATTCTAAATGATAATCTTCGCAGTTTAACAGACTCCCTTAACTACCCATTTTCTACCAGATTGTTTTCACAATCAATAGGCCTCATCTACTTATAGGGCTTGATTTTTACTAAAAATTTTATGTTGATATATCGCTTTTCATTTTTGTCTTTTTGTTTTTAATTTTAATTTCAACCCCCCCCAAATCGTCTCACTCGTGTTAGGCTCACTCATCATAATGCGCCACAGACACAGTATACTTAAGTATTCTGTGCCACAGAGACGCGATCAGCCAGATGGCAATGATGTACCAAAAAATATAGATTAACACGTATGAAAATAAAAATATTAAAATGTAATTTATATTTTTATGTAATTATAAAATAATGTGTTTTTATGAAATGTAATTGGGTGTTCACTGCACAAATGAACCAATGGAGAAACCGCCCCTGGCATCAGTGTATATTTTGATATTACCGGGAGGGCGCTTAGAGCCTTACAAACCATCATCACAGCCATCCTATAAATATTAAGATGATTTTATAATTTAATAGTTTTACGTTCGGTAGATATTTCGACAGAGTTAAACGATTTGATTATAGTATATTATGCAACGATCATGTAATAACCATTACAAGAGAGTTGCATACGCTATTTTTTATACACTCGATAAATAATCAAGAACTATAAATATTATATTTGTATTGAACACAATAACACTAATTACTCATATTTCTATAAAAAATTCTACAAAATTGTAATTAACGGTATTACCTCGAGTATTGGTATTACCTTAAAATATATAGTCAGGAAGGAGGAATCCTAAACGACCTTGGAATCGCGATGGTATCTAATTTTGACAGTGAACTAGACGAATATGGCGCAAGTGTTTCCGGTCTACCAGTGACGTACTGCAAATTCTCATTTGCATATTATGTAAATTTACCGATATCTCTCATTTTAACGAATTGCTATTTTCTTGCGAGAAGTTTGCATGTTGGGTGAGATAAATATAGGAAAATATTTTTGGGATAATTTATAGAGGGATTTCATTTGAAAAATCAAAGCAATAACGTATTAAAAAGATATTGACTCTTTTACGTCTTTATTATGACAATGTCTTTATTAATCTACATTTTACAAATTATTAAGGTTTGAAAAATAAATATGTTTTGTAGATATGCGTTAAAAAAAATTAAATATCCTATACTTATATTTAGGTCAAATACCGCTGTGATATTTCTTTCTTAGATGTTTTTGTTGGAGTACATATAAAACTTCCTAATATCGAAGAGAATTTCTGATCATTTTATTACATAATATTATTAGTAATATTTTTTGCAGGACAATTTTGCATAAGCAGGTAAAACACCTACATTCAACGCATTATTTGTATGCTTAGTCCAGTTATGATGAGAGTTAATTTGTACTCTAAAGTATTTGATATCATTTGTAATACTTATATGAAACTACTGAAACAACATAAGTTTTATCAAAGTTTTGTAAGTTTTTATAATTAAACCATTCGAAAATTTGTATAAGATGTTTCTATTAATAATTTTAATCAATTCCAGTTCTCTGCATTTTACAGAATAACTGTGTCGTCTGAAAAACTTATCTGTATTTAAACGACAAATTATTTAAAATAAAATTAAACAAGATATGACCTAAGACAGTATCTTGAGGCATGCGATATGCTACTTATTTCCTTACTTGAGATATTATTAATTCTATTTGTGTTTGTTGTAAATAACTTTGTAATAAATTATATAGGGTGCATCACATTCATACAATAAACTTCTATTGTACGAAAAAAACGGCACAGAACGGTAAAGAATTTATTTACTTATATACTTCAACCGGACCACTTTTATTGTTGGAACAGCTGTTGGTAGAAGTCTTATTCTTGGTTTTGAGGTTCGATCAAAACAATCTGCTTTAAAATGGCGTGAACACAAAAAATTAAGATATTTTGACTCACAGTTTGTTTGTTGCATGAACTCAAGCCATAACTTTGTTTTTTGAGAATCTTTAGGAAAACTGAAAATTGTCTACCTGGGATTAATTTATATAATTTGTAAATCTAGAATCTTTAAGAAATCTGAAAATTGTTTACTTGCAATCAATTTATAAATCTAAATTGAACAATAATTTATTCATTTTAACAACCACATAAATATCTTAAAATTGCATAAAAGAATTGTTTAAATAAAAGTATGTATACCCTATAAACCATGACGCTACGCCTATGAGCACAGTTGATCGCAGACGCTCTTACCGCGTTTGTTTACAAATTTAAGACATTAAAAATTTTTAATGTGGTTGAAAATTGAGAGAACAAAATACTTGCTTATGAAATGTATATTATTCCTTTCTACTTTTAGCTGTGCTGATATATCCACAAGACGAACAACTGACCATATTGTCTTGTTTGTCTTTTAACGCGGAAAATTTAAAATTAACAGTAATACTAAATAAATACTAAAACACTAAACACTTTTTAAAAATATCTACAAAACATACGCTTGATAAAAGTTTAAATTAACACATAAAACATCCAAATTATTAACAAATTTTAATCACTAAAATGATAAACCAATTTCAGATACCATTTATCATATGATGATGAGTCATCCATAGTACAACATGGCTACCACTTCCGTCAGATCGATTAGATTAACGCGGACATGGCATGCTCCTTCCTGACTATATATGTTCTAAGGGTATTACCATAGATTTTTAGGGAAACATATTTTGTACTGCATTTTCTGCTTTCTCCGATATGTGTGGAGGAGTCGATGGTAAGTCCTCTATATCCTGATATCGTACATTTTGATTGAAAAATTATGAGTTTCTATGGATTAAAAATATGTATCGTTATGAAAAATCTGTATAGTTATGAAAAATCTGTACCATAATGGGTATCATTATGAAACGAATTATGGGCATATAAATGCATTATTATAATACGGGTGTAGAAAAACATTGTTATGAGTAAATGAATGTATCCATTAATATTAACAATTGAACCTATTTAATAATTTAATCCGACAACGGCATACCGTGGTAAGCAAAAGACAAACGAAAATATTTTTGGTAGTGGTTATGATTCCATCTAACGTCATAATACAGACGATAATATGATTTTGGAGTAAAAAAAAACAACAAGAACCAAATACTTAGCTAATTTAAGAAGATACACAAATATTAGAGCAAAATTTCAAATCAAATAGGTACTACATATTTGGACAAATTGGAATTTTTCTAATTTCTAAAAAATTATCTAGCGCAATAATATACAGGGTGTTTAAAGTAAAGTAATATTTTTTAAAATAAATTATGCTTATAGTGAGTTGCATAAAAGACGATTAAATTTTAAATGCACGATAATACATTTTATCTATGGATATTTATTATTTCTAGATTAGAAAATCCTATGATTTTGGGAATGAACCACAATTTAATTCTTTGATGCATCAAAATAGTTGTCATTTATTTTGGATTGATGTTTAATTTTAAAAAATTAACAAAATGAATGTAAGCAAGCGTGAAAAATACAAGGCCTGAATTGGACAAGATAAATATACTGAATATTACCAGTATAATTAAAAGTCATACTACAAACTTATGAATACAAATGTCAATATAATTCTTCAAAGAATACACCCCAAATATGACATTAGTTTAGATAACAAAATCTAGAGATAATAAATTTCCATGGATTAAATATTTAATCTTCTTTTATGCAACCCACTAATGTTTTAAATAACTTTGAAAGGATTCTTTTTAAAATTAAAAAAATAATTTATTAAACAATCAAAAATAATTTAGACGTTTAATTTTGTTTGAATTAAGATGTTAAATTATTTTTATACAAACTGTATTTTAATAAAATTTTCGTTAATTTTCTTAATAACCATATTTCGCACATTTACATATTTACATTATCCTTTAGGGAGTTCTGTATCTGTAATGTGTAGAAGGTGGGTTACCCCCACGGCACTTAGGACTCATTAGGCCCATTTTTTTATGGGGGTTTACTTTGAGAACAATTTTTAAAGGTAGATAATTTTGAAAA